CAAATTTTCTGAACGTCCATAGAAATAAAATTTTAATAGCTGTCGGTTAGCTTTTGCAACGCCGGTTTTCGGTGATTTCAGGTTATATCTTTATACGTTGTACAAAATTGAATAACACAAAATGACATATTTACAGGTAATATTTTCAATGTTGTTATGTTTTGCTTCTCTATCTATAGATGTGCTTGGAACATTTATGTATATCATAGCAGATAGTAGTTTACCAATATTAGAAATTTGGGTTAAAAAATTTTATCTTAAATTTTCTGTGACAAATTAAAGGAAACAAAAAAATGTTTTTTTAAATTTCTATTTTTGGAAAATTTAATACCTTTTTTTCTCAAAGATGAAAGGTAGGCAATGTTTAAAAGCAAACCAAAAGTTCGTCTTCCATGTCTTAAACTCAGGGAAAAGAACGTTTTCAAAAACCCTGTGGAAAAGTTAACAGTTTGGACACAAATTTTTGTGTAAATTTGTTGACCGACCAGGAATAATGGCTTAGCCGCACACAGTCTTTGGTGAGTAACATTTTTGCCAGTTTTTTAAATCCTTTAATAAAAACAAAATTACAGTCCGGACAGGGAAAGTTGATTTAAATATTAGTTACCTCAACTCGCTTTATGTGTAAAACCTTCTGAAATATTTAAAGGGGCTTGGGCACGACATTCGTCTTTATGTGGGTTTATGACATTTATGCCAAGTTATCTTAAAAATCTTAGATGCATGACAACGTAACAGTCCGGACACTAATGTGTGAACCTATTAACTCTTTTGTGATAATGTGAAACTTCAAAATGTTAGTGTGACTTTGACCTTTGAGGTAGGGACGTAATTCTTGGACATGATACATCGTCTTGAAATGTTAGACATTTGTGCCACGCTATTTCAAAATTCCTCTATGTATGACAAAATTAAAGTCCGGACACGAATAAAGTGGGGACGCATAGACGGATAGATAGACAGACAGACGGACGATGCGATTTTAACATGCCGCCCTTTCGGGGGCATAAAATAGGTTTCTATTCACTTATATACTAGTGAATAGTACTTTATATAAATATATTTGCATTTAATGTATAAAGAAAAATATGAAGCTAACGTTCGATGTGTTTTGTGAATTTCTTTTTCATTTTATTTTTCTCTGCTTTTCTTCGAAACACTCTGCATGTACTTTCCCCAAAAGTATTAAAACCTTGAAATGGATCTGTGTTATTAACGAATCAGCTTCAAAGTTACAAAGGAAACAACACTTAAACCATCTTCATAGGTTTATAATGACTAAGTATTATACGAGCTATAACGCAAACCTACGTGAAACAAAAATATTTTAATGTATAGAATGTTTAGCCCTTCAGAAATTGAACAAATAAAAAAGCTTTGCCGACGCTAGGGCAAAAATAAATTAAACTGTTTTATTAAATGCGGTTTTGATGATGGGTATTTTCTCTCATAAATTACTGTCCCTCTAATGAGAACTATGGTGTTGACACGTACACACAACCTACACGAAGAGTTAATGTTTTTAAACTTTACCTTTTCCATAAACAACTTAAAAATAAATCAAAAATACAGTAATATACAGAAACACAGAGGGTACATTCCGATTTTTTCTTGGCAACGAGATATAACTCAGAAAAAAATGGTATCTCGTTCCCACGAGATACAACTAAGAATATTACTCAAAATATAACAAAAAAGAAAATCCCTAGAGATATAACTCAGAAAAACAACAACAACAACAAACATTCTCTATCTCCCTCCCTCAGAACTTTTTTTTTCTTTGGAAGACAGCATTTTATTTTTTGTTTTTTGCTGTTTTTTTTTCTGAGTTAAATCTCGTGGCCGACAGATAGGAAAAGAAAAAAACCAACGAAATGTCCCTCTGTTCTTCCGTAGCCATGCAGTATATTTAGAGAATACATTATACTTTTGATCTGGAAATATATCTAGACATTGAGTACGCTTTTCGATATAAGATTATTAAACATAGGTACGATGAAAGAGAATAAAAACAGTGCCCATTCATGCAAATGATTGAAAATAGCAAATATTGAAAATATTTAATTAACGTTCTGTAACCCAGTAGTTTACTTTGTTAAAATATGTGGAAAATATAAAATATATATAAAATATAAGGGAAATCTCAAAATGTTGGATCAGGGGAGGACAGAAACACGCAAATCATCACGTAAATGCGTATTATTTCTGAAAGTGAACGTCAATGCGTTGTTGTGAAATGACGCACGTCTCCGAACAGTTTTGTTTATATTGAAAAAGATCCGATATAGGTAGAAAAAAAGTTACTCTTGAATTATAATATTGGAATATTTGGCAAATTCGATGCTTATCCTGGGTAACAAAGAAATACTAACAAATGTAACTTCGTGGTGTTATTCTAATTAATGGTAAATCTATCAAATATAAGCGCAACACGTTGATTACCCTATTTTGAAAGGCAGTGCACCGTGAAGATATACGATAAAAGTTAACATAACGTTACTCCCGGATTAGATGGAGGAAAACCCACACTTGCCGAGTTGCGGTTAAAATATATTATTATAAATACTCTTTTAAGGTTAAATAAATAAATGCAAGATATATTTATTGGATAATCAAATGCCATTTTGCACTACTTAACTATAAATTACATAATTGACTGCGGAACTGATAACCTTTGTTGTATTGGTATATCTTACATTTTTATGTTTTTACATGTCAATTAACCGTTGGTGAAATCCTATTCTTTTAATTGTCTATTTTGTTCAGCTTGTGAACATAGAATATATTACCTGATGAAATTATCTTAAATGGACCATAATGAAATATCTTAAACCATTTGGATGATCATATATTTTTCTATATCAAGTATATACTTTGCTATTCCATAGTTTTTTCCAAACCGCAAGTACCCAATAATTGATGGGGGGGAAAAGATCTTGAGTGTGATCCCTCCCTCGGAAGCATTAATCACAACAAAATTACATGAAAATTGCAGACTCGGTTTGATTGAGTCTGTACATGAGGGATAATGAAAAGTGCAACATCCCTCACGCCTCCTAGCACCGGCTAGGTAAGTCGCACATTATATTTTCATTAACGGTAACAATCTCGGTTAAATTTACATCACAAAGTTACGATGTGTCAACAAACCATTTTATGATCACTTTGTAAACAGAAAGGTATTGTTACAAGTTATTTAGTTGCAAAAATTGCATAGCACACAGTTTTTATCTTTATGGGTGCAGGTTTCTGTGATAAATATTTTATATTTGCAAGCGCTTTTATCGTGCAGTGAATAAATAGGCAGCTCTAAATAAAGCTCTAAATAAACAAATAAAGAAAATGCTATTCCATATAAAGCATTTATTTATTTTAACTCTTGCAAAACAAGTCAATCAATAACATAATTGTGGTAAGGTATCACATGATATGTTAAGCGAAACTAACAAAAACAACGTTTTCATATGAGTCATGATTAAAAATATCATGACTAATACAATATTAAACATTGGTGATTAATGACGTAATGAGTGTTTACAAATGATACAACAATGTTTAAATAAGAGAAAAGAAAAATACAACACAAAAAAATAACCTATTGCACATAATAAATCAAACTGATTCAATGCTAAATTGCATTTGCAACTATTTGTGATATGTGAATAATAAAAGTTCCATTGAAGATCCGTAATAAGGCAATGATGTGTTCACATGTTTAAACTGTATAGAAGAAACATTTATTTATTTTATACATGTTCGTCCAGTCCAGTTTTCAAATAACATTATTATGCATGCATTACAGAGCAAAGGTCAAGCAATGGTTTGCATTCTATTCAAACATGCAATTATCACATTCAATTAAATATATTCTGCACCAATATCTTTCCCTTTTTCCTGTCGTGTTTCAAACTTTAACAGCGTTACTTCAACATTCCTTCTAAATAGTTTAAAGCAGCATGCAACCAGATTTATGCTAATTTTTATAAAAATGTTTAAAAATGTGATAAAAACAAAATATTGTGAAGTGCACAAAAGAAAATAATTTCATATTGCAAAAGCACTTACAAACTAAAGTGAATTACCAAAAAGATGTCAAAGAGTGCAAAAATTACTGCGTTATTTAAGCAGTAGAAATATGGTGAAAAATACTGCAAAATCGGTCATAAATCGCACATAACATGGAAATCATTACTTTCATCTTGAATCTTCTTACTTTTCTTAAAATGTTTTTCTCATGTTTGATTTTCTTTAAATATTTTGGTTCATCTAGAGGCATGCAGCATTTAAGAGATATTCTTCTGGGAGCGTTATATGAAGCAATTTAAGATTTAAATTTAAGTTCTACCTTTATTTAACATGTTTTATTATCACTCTTACTTGTATGGTATGTATAAACTTTCCTAGAAAGTTTATTCAAAGACAACTCAGTACCTATGTGCAGTTTTTTAATCTTTATAGGCACTTTTATGGGTCATTTATATATTTGTTTTTAATAAATAGTGAATTATCCTGCAAATTAGTTGTTCTATAAAAGGAACACATGGATTATAACTGCAAACCACTTAGAAATGGTATTTTTCAAAAGTCAATGCCCCTTTGAGTTTCTACAGCTAGAATTTCATTTGAATATGTTAATTGCATGAACTACAGAAAATAATCTAACCAACATGTTTTATAACATTTGAATTAATAGGAATTGTATTACTAGTAGTATTGTACTTTGAACATTTTCTATATCTCTTATAATCTTGGAATAAAACATATCATGTAAAATAGTATGTGGACGGATAAAAAGTTCACTGCACATTTGCAACAGCAATAACTGATAAAAAAAAGTTCTTTATGAAAGAAACAGTATTTTGGCCATTGCTTGATCCATACGAGGTCTAACACCGTTAACGATTTACTACGCAAATATATATCTTGTTGAAACCAGTTAAGTAGGCCAACCATACAGATATTGCAACAACCAAATTAAAAGTTGTGCAACACCATGACAATGGACTACTACCGGTTATCTCCGGAACTGTCAATAGTTTTTTTTTTTTCATTCTCAAGTCGTAATTGGATACGAACGAAGAGTAAGTTCTACAAAAACGACCACGTGGCTATATTACAGATTCCCTCTTCAGTTACACTCGGACACAGTAGTGTAGTGTGGATGGGCGTCTATTCCCGTACTGATGTGAAACCTCCGTATACAACCGTCCATCTGTCCATCCTTGCCCTGTTTGAAAAGAAAATTCAAAGTATATTAATAAAAATCAATGGGTTTAAACAAAAAAAGAAAGTAATGACCCATCAGCAGTCATATTCAAGTATCATTGTTCAATAAGTACTAACATTAGCCAAGTATGTCAAATAAAAAATATTTAAAAGAGCATAGAGTTTCGTTATATCAGAATCGATTTAAAAATGCGTATTAGCGAACAATTTCAACCGGTACACATTAATTTTACTTCATCTAATGATATACTGTTTACTTTTATTTCTATATAGTTACTTTTTAAAGTGGACGTGTAAACGTTGTAATTAAATAAAGACATGCAACTAATCTGAGCATATATATATTACTATTTTGTTTGCATTTTTTCGTAGCGTAGGTCAGACCGAAATACCGTATCCACTTTTCCGAAGATTGAAGAAAGGGTCGGAAAATTATGATTGGAGATTTAAAGTATCTTAAGATAAACAGAGTAGAAAATAAACCTCTAAGAAAAAAAACATTCCGTATTCGTTTGAGTAACTAGCTATTAAACAAGAATCTATTAAACAAGCATGTAAGTTCGCATTTTAGAGCACTTGTTTTCAAAATCACATTATTAAATACCCATTTAATAAGCGATATGAATTTCTCTTTTCACAATTGAGTAAACATATCATTATTAAATTAGATATGTAAATAGTAAAAATACGTACTTAAACACCACGCCCTACTTTATTCGATATTTAACAGTAATGAAAAATCAAAATATTATTTCAAATTACAGACTGATATTTAGGGCCGTGTTTGAGCAAATAGTTTGAGATAATTTGCAAATTATATTTAACTGCACAAATAGGTTTTTAATAAACGGTCTACTTTTTGGCGTTATACAACACCGATTAATTTTAACTCCGGTTCGAGTATAATTTTGAAAAGGGGAAAAAGAAGAAGAAAATACTGGGTTTTTAAGCGACTTGCAATTATATGCGGCTCATAACGTGATTGTCATAAAATAAAATGTCTTCCTGAATCATATGGGATTTTTGCTACATACCTACCTTGATTTATTCTAATTTGCGGTTAACTCAGACATGTTCTTTAGTATTTTATACAAAAGAATATTCATATGAAAACACAGAACGCTTTCTGTTTTTTTTACTGCTTTACGACTGTGTGATTTATATACTTAGAAAGTAACGCATTTGGCGACAGTTTTGATCTAAAAGTACGCTTATTTCTTTAATCCACTTTAAGACATATAAATGCAAAAATAATGTCGTGTAAAGTAATACATATTTTAGTTTGAGATGGCGAGATTTGATTCTTTGGACCGTGCACAGATTCAAAATAAACAAGTCTTGCCACGATAGACAGAATTCTAAATAGTATGCCCGAAAGCGCCACATTTATACTTTCTACTATGAATATGTAAGTGCAATAAAGTCACCAAGGGCAATTTATCTTTTATTTCAGAATTAACAGATTAATACTTGAACTTAATTTAAAATGAATTCACTGTATACACTCTGTATTAAATAAAAACAAGATACATTTTCTATGTAAAATATTTATTATGATATTTATTTAGTGCTTTAGGTACTGTTATTTGTTCCAAAGTTGGATACAAAAGTTCATGTCGACGGCCCTATATTCAAAATGATCAAATAATTGTTACCAATCCAAAAGATAATGACGTCATGTCAATGAAGTGCCAAGGTAGCAATATTTATCCGATCAATGCTCTTTTTCAAAGATATAATTAATTGAATATGTATTAAAGGGTATATCAATTAACGGCAAAGAAACCAGTTTCAATAGCGATCGATCGTGTCAAATTATAAGTCAGAAATAATTAAACTTATATTATTCTTGTGTATGTAACTGGAAATAAGACGAGATGGTTTGCTTTGAATAATCCTTCAAGTCGGATGTTTTGGCATTTTTGAAAGTACACCAAGAATTAATGCGCTACCAATCGATACTTAATACGGTTACAAAAAAGGCAATTGTCGGTGTCTTTTGATGCCGTAGAACTAGTGCGTGGGCTGCTGTTTTCGTTATTTTGTTATTCAGCAAACAACAACAACTTGTAAAATATCAAGGAATAAGGATACTGCACGTTTATTTTAGTAGATCCATTGATGGCGACATTGATTTCATAAGAGAGTAAGTTCATAGGTACCCATTATTTTTCCTTATGCAAGCTGATTATTTTTGAGAAAGAAAAAAGGACCGAATGGCAATCGCCAACAAAGTGATAATTTCCTGAGGTATTTTGTAAAAAAAGAAAAAAGAAAACGAAAGACAAGAACATAACTTATCATTACTTTTAAGTGTACTGCGCATGCGTGTATTATATAAAATAGTTCCAATTATCAGACGAGTTTATGGCTCTAATGCGTGCAGACGGTTTGATGTATCGGAAACAATGATTTGATGACATTTGTATCAGACAGACTCCCCTTTCAAGTCTCTCTCCCACAGAGCTCGTTTATTGCAAAGTTCAAAGCATGATTGTTTCAAGGTTTGTGAAGAACAATTAATAAGATATGTATATCACACTATAAGGAACTCAGTATACTGTAGTTAAATGAAAAAATATACGATAAATCAATAATACTACTCTGTTGTTGTTTACTTTGTGTCTACTTGGAATTTATTATTTCAGGTCAATGCAATATTAACCACAACAAAGAAAAAATTAAGTACAGTGAAGGTAAATTACGATTTGACATTTTCCGCCGTCAGCACAAAAGAACACAAAGGATTTTAATCGATGATTTATTTTACTTGTAATGAAATTCAGAACATTGCATCATTTGGAAAGATAATTACTTAGTACTTAATACGTACAGTAACACCGGTCTTAGTAAACACCTTTACAAAACGAGGTCATTCCACGCAATGACTTTGTAACAGTCAAGTGTAACAAAAAGAGAACATCAGTACTAAATTGTCATGCATTTTCGCCTGAATATGGTATTAAATTTTGATTGACATTTTTCAGAACTTAACTGTATTTGTTATTCAAAGCAAGCTGGTTTTTTTTACAGCAGACGAGATAATAAAGAAGGTAATAATGGTCATTTGCGTAGGGATATATCTAGCCGTGATGCCAATTCTAAAAAGAAACAACAACAAAAACCATAACTGTCTCGTACCTGTAATTCTTTTACACTTTTAGATTGATAGTGCGCCGGGTTTCTGTTGCCGAAATTGATTGACGTAAAGCCCCCGCAACTGACGTAATACTGTTCGAAGTACTCTAATTCATCTACGAGAAATATACCTTTTCCGTGCCGTCTGATGAATCGCACCTGAAAATAAATAATAATATTAAACAAAATCGCGGGGAAAAAACGTACTGCAGTAGACATAGGTTTTGAACAGTGGCCATGTTCAATAACATTCAAAGTATAGATTTTATAATTTCATACTTCGGCTACAAAGTTTTTACACCGAGCTTAAATTCAGATATGCTAACTATGATCGCAGGAAGAGATGATACTTTGTACAAACGTTCATCATATTGTACTGATATTACTGAAAATTGTAGTAATAATTTAGACAATCGCTACAAAACAGTAACAGTAATTTAATGGACAAATAAAAGACGAAAAATGCACATACGAAAGAAAAATATTCCAATTAAATGAAAATCACTATAATTAAATGTAGTATTAAATAAGTGTAAAGGCAAATTTACAATCCGAAGAAAGAATCTTAAAAGAAGTACGTATGATACTATGCCACTGTGCCAAAATGCGCTAAATATTACGTTTGAAAGAATTAATAAATTATTAAAACAAGTACTTATAAAATACCAATTTATATGATATGAAAGAAAATATAAATAAAGCGTTTGAAAATCCGGAGCGTGTGTTTTATTGAACATACCCTATGCCATTCTCCGTCATCAACTCGAACTGGAATCGTAAAGTCAGCGAAAGAACTCATGCATCTGATCTTGAACTGTGGGTAACCTTCGTGCAGACTACCGGAAACCATGTCTTGAAGGTCGTTCCGCCTGACTGCATAGAATAACGTGCCGTTACCGGAAGTTGTCTTGAATTCAAATCTCAGTGAATGCCTGAAATATTGATGATGGAACTATTTTCTTTGGCGCACCTTTATCTGAAGGGGGATAGGGTTGTAAATGGTCACCGAAGTACTGATGTTAATTAATAAAGCGCGAATGCCCGCAATTATGTACCAGTTTAACCTTACGTTTGAAACATTTCCCGAAGTTCACTTGGTGCAATCGCTGTTCATAAAAAGTACTGAAGCTTTTCAAAAAAGATTGGATTCAAAACAAAATAATAAAATTAAACTTTTCTTATTTAATATAGACGTAAATTTAAAATTACCGGCAATTAGTTTTCTGAGTTTGGCGCCATTTTTACAATACGCAAATATAATTTGTTTAAATCATTAATAAAAATAATGTTTTAATAACGAAAATATTTTTTTGATCGTTTGAAATAAAATAAAATATTACAGACTTGTGTCTGAACGTTGACAGGAAAATCGTTCCTCTTTATCAAGGTTAAATACTTAAAAATAAAAATTGCGGTTTACTTTGTCAATAAAAGTTTAAACATGAAAAAGATAAAGCCGCGCGTCAAACAATGTATCATTAAGCATTAGGAACAAATTGACCGTGTAATGTCAAAGGATGGGGTGAAAAAAAACTGTGCGAACAGAAGAGTATAAACATAGTAAAAATACCCCTTACAGCTTTTTGGGCCTTCAAAAATCATGCTTGTTTGCAATACTGAATTATATGGTCCTCTTAAAAAATCCTTAAATAGAACCTTATAACATACGAAAAATTGAATGCATGATTTTTATTGAAAGCAAAACTTTATCCACATATTTGATTTCGTAAAGAGCCTCTTTATATATCAATTCTAGAGTAATAATAATAAAAAAATTGTTATTCTTCAATATTGGACATAAATATTTCAAAGCATGTTGTTAACACTTCTTTTATTTTAAAGTGTTCGTCTTTCTGTTGCCTATATTTCTATATCTATCAACTAATTAATATATATAATACTGGAAAAAAATGGAATCTTATGTTACTGGGAATTTGGCGTGGGAAAGGCAATGTCATTGAAAAATGACGAATCACCTTGACTTTTCATGACTTTGACTTCCAGACAGGTCAACGGAGTTTTTAATATGTATATTACACGCACCTGTCCTCGAAGGGTTCTGAGAGTGAGTCTATATATACATTGCTTTGATCAAATGGCTCGATTTTGACACCATAGCTCGTCTGTATGTCGATCTTCGAAGACTGAAAAACAACAAAAATTAAAAAATGAAATATACTATAATCTAATTTTGCCGTTTGCCGACATGGCAGTGGTACAATGTGCAATATAAGAAAAAATATAAGACCTATTCATATTTAGTCAAGGAAAAACAAATTTAGATTTAAAAGGTGCATTGATATCATGCGTACTACTTAGTTTATTCAAAATTATTTTAATTCAATTGAGTTGGAAGCAACATTCTCGAATCCATTCCTGAAACAACAAGTACTAAGCAGTTAATGTAAAGTTTCTTGCTCAAAGAAACAACGGCTTGCCCCTCACAGGGTTTGAACCCACACGGTCAGCAATCCTTAGATTACTAGTCCAACGTGTTAACAACTCGGACAGTGTGTACTGCTTAAAAGCGAATGGTATGAATTGAAACCTGAACAGTTTGCACTTCAACTTAAAAAAAATATTGAAACTGTTTTATATGTTTATAATTGAGAATGAAATAATTTATGATCTTATTTTCCTGACCTGTATCCAATATCATGAAATATGTAAACCTTTTAATTTAAAGACGGTAGAAAAAATGAGTAGACAAGACGCGATCTATCATTTTCCACCCACCCTTCATTATCAAATGTTAAAAAAGTCCTATTTCAATTTCTTTTGTGGTAAGAAAAACTCCCTGTGGCATTTATACAAATATATGGAAAATGAAATGTGATAACTTATGGCGTTGCCAGCATTTCTCAGAACACATGAGTCCACTGGTTTGAAATGTCACTCAATGATGTCTTTTAGATTGAGTTAGAACAGAAAGTGTTGGCATTTGTAATTAAAGAATGATGCAACGATCGTTTACGGGAAAACTGCTGGACCCGTGGGTGGTAAGTCCTTGCCACCAGTATAGAGCCAGGCCAGCCTGTATACCAGTGAAGTTTATACTGTTGGCTGACTAACATAAAAATAAATTGTCAGCAAAACACGGATAACGGACAAGTCCAAAAACGGAAAGTTGACAAGTTCATTTAAGAAATTCTGCAGGGTGGGCGGTAAAAACGTTAATGCACGTGGAACGGCCAATGCGTCGAGAAAATAATACACTAGACTTTTATTGTCATCTTGTATGCTAAAATACTGACTTTATAGTTAAATTATAATGTAGGTATATAATTATTTTACCTTTTGTATAATAGATTTGTTGCGGTTTGTTTCTGTCAAGTGACTATAAATGTATATTATAAATTGCTTTAACGAGACCCTTTCTCCCGCCAGTCGTCAGTACTAATTACTTGTGAGTATTTCGTAGGTGTTAATATAAAACATTACTATAAATAGAATCAACTTTTTCTCTTCCGATATATTTTTCTATTTCTACATTATGTATATTTGTTAAACACTTTTAAATACGATAATAACTCAGATTTTTTTTATTGTATAAAGCATAAAATCAATGATCTTTATCCTGCTATCTTGTTTAACTGAAATAAAACATTTGGAAAAAAAACATAAAAACACATAAATGAATGAAAACATCCACAACAAAAAGCCAGCAACATTGGACCATCGGTCAAGAGCCCAGCAGGGCACCGAAAAAAAACAGCAGGGGGCAAGGGCGAAACACCAACAACGTAGAACCACCGGAAAGGAGCCCAACAGTGCAACAAGCAAAACCAGCATGGTACTGGGGCAAAGTACGGGCGGAAAACACATTATACAAAAAAAAAAAAAGAAAAAAAAAATTCTGAACATTCGGAATGTTACTTTGAGAAAATAAGAATGCTTTACCAACAACATTACAACATGATATGGCTTAGATAAATTTGTGATAGACGCGGATCGAGTAAAAAATATTTAAAAAAAAACGTCCAACTGGTTTATCTTCCAAAATGTCATTGAGTCAATGATCTGAATCAGTACTTTTAAGGACTTCGTCAAGCATAATAAATAATGATAAAAAAAATCATGCGAGCTGTTATCATACAATTGATAAAATAAATTCATCTGATCTTGATATGAATACATTTCATCTTGATAAAAACTCATCGGGTCTTGCATTTAATCGATCGATCTTCATTTAAATTAATGATATCTTAATGACATAACATAATATATAAATATACGGGATCTCGATACAAATTTATCAGATCCTCGCCTCGAGGTTATGAACTTTGACCTATTTTCCACCAAGTTCTGTCTTAAATCTCAGGATTTTTATTGACAGTTTCTGACCAATTAAGTACTTGAGATCTTAGTTTGAGTTCAGAATTATTATTATTATTATTATTATTATTATTATTATTATTATAATTATTATTATTATTATTATTATTATTATAACGGACTTCGGTTTAAAACATGTAAATCACGAAAATGATTTTAATGAACAGCAAATAAATGTTTCATTTAAGACAACATAGTATCATATTAAAAATTCAGCGTCATGTTTTTCTTAATTACTCAGACTATTTTGCAAAATCCTTGTGAATACCTTACGTTTGATGGTGCTAAATAAATTTGTACATTCTTTCAGACTCTAACTGTAATAGTAAGGTAAAGCGTGATTTTCATATTTGTAACATTATAATAAGCTATATCTTGAGTGAAACCAAAAGCAATGCAATAATTCATGTCGTTTTGCTTAAGATATAAATAAAAAAAGAAATGAAATAAAGTGATAGCTATTGTAATTTATGTCTGACAAATTCATGACACGTGACACTTTCTAAATTTTCCCTTATTTGCGTTTGAATCATTTTGTTCGTGGAAAACACTCCTACTTAAATAATTAACTATGTAATTTAACGCTTTTTTCAAACGATTAGATATTCCATTTTAAACTACTTTAGTTGTATTCCCATTGATAAAAGTAATCAAATTATGTGCTAAGATTTGCGTGCACGTTTCTAATTAATTTCCGTCTAGATAAAGTTTCCTTTAGGTAATAAAAGAACTATGCTATGATATTTGATCCTTTTAAGAATGATAAGTTTGACCTTCAAACGTTTGATAGAATAAATTATGAATGACAAAAATAGCTAGCATGAACTTTATCGGCAAACATATAACATAAACATATGACTTTTAAAGCGGTAAGACTCCAGAGTTGTATATAGGCACATTTTTAAAGGTATAACTTCAAAAAGGTATAATAAGTTCGAGAAATGAATTAACATTTACAATCAAAGAGTAGCTGTGATTGTTTTATGTAAAAGGTATACACAATTTGATATTTTCATGTGAATAATTTTACCCCGTTCCTAACTTAACTCCGCGCCTTGACTCGTTATAACTTTTAGTTTCAGTTTATTGGCAAATCGGTATATACAATATACCTTTGGCCATTTACAACATAAAAAGGATGACCAAAATATCACAATTTACATAAGACAGTACCACAAATGAAACAATACCGGACAACTGTTATACAAAAAAATTAATAAGCAGTAATATATGCAAGTCTTTCCTTTCTCAGCGGCAAAGCATAAAATACAAATTTGGCAATATGTCTTAGAGTTCTGTATTATTTGTAGAATAAGTGTCATGTGTTGGTATGATTCTAAAATCGTGTGTTTCGAGCAACTCGACCTTATCTATATCGTAAATATCACTTTTTATACCATTGCGAAAAAAAACATCCGCTCCGGATGTATGTGAATTTGAGAAAAATGTTTTTCTTCTTTTTTCTAAATGGCGCTATTTAATACAAATTTATTCATGCCTTTTAGTTACGCTGTAAATTAAGTTTTCAGCTGGTGATATTTTAGTGGTTTTTTTGCATATAATTCGAAACATGAATTTATTTTCAATTATCTTCTAAACTTTAAACCTTTATTTTTTTGTGTCCATTCCGGTTTTGTTTTAAAGAGAGCCTCCTGTGTCACGACAAATACTAAATTGGATATTACATGCATAATTTTACACCAGCTAAGGGTATTTTTCCTTAAATGTTATTTAATGTCATGGTTAAACAACCTAGCTATACAAAGGTATATCATTAAATTACGAAGTATTTAAATGCAAAACAAAAATACAACAGCGAACAATAGCATAACAAATTCTCTTTATAGAAAAATAGCAATAAACATGCAATATTATAAACCTGCAAAATTAAAATCATGAAAATAATAATCCTATTCTCTCAATAGGAATAACAAATTATAACTATTCAAATAACATTAAAACTTACTTACCCCAGAACATATAGAACGATCACGACGCGAACTTCTTCCTTCGCAGTAAATTATCAAGGTAAATAACAAAACATAGATCGTACTAATCATCTCAGAAACAAGCATTTTTCGTATTATCTACTTAAATTAGATATTTCAAACAATTTAAATATACTTGTTATTATTAAGCAAATAAATTGTATCTAAATAGTACAAACTACAATGTTATTTAAACAGTTTATAATATAAATTTCGAATATTTGAAAACACAAATTATTTGAAAGTATTGTCTATATAAGAGCACTGACGGTAACAACTGCTTTAAAACGTTCTGTATTCCGCTTAAATACACCTTTTTCACCGCGCACCTGGTATTTCATAATCTAAATCTCACTCATTCATAAAATACTCCTTATCGGTGGGAAATTACTTTACTACGTTAGAAGCACGTGACATGGACTTCAATTTTCCGATTTGACGCATTTTTATGACTTTGCGCATGCGCTTTAGCACACACTCTGTCTTAAATGGATTATCTATATTTTTAATTTATGCTTCACATGATGTCATCATTTAAACATTGAATTATTCATTCGAATGTGAATAACCCATAAGTTTTCAATTGAGATAATAAGGGCATGTAAATAAACATATTTACTTTGTTAAGCTGATAAAAGGAAGTTTAATACACCATCCAAGAATCTGAAATCTTAAATGACGGTAAATGTTTATAAACCAAGCGACTTATTCATTTGCATATATATATGGAAAGAATGTTCAGGCGAGATACGATTAATCGACATTATTTGATATAAACAATATGCGGTATGTTAGAAAATATCCCTAATTTGTAATAAACAATATTTGATAAAAACAATTCAATGTATGTTAAAACACAGGGCAGTATTTTCATTTCTGCATTATAAGTGTCTGGTCAAAAAAATCCCAAATTTGTAATAAACAGTATTCGATATAAACAACACACAATATAGTAGGATATATCCCCAATTTGCAATAAACAGTATTCGATATAAACAATGAACGGTATTTTAGAATATATCTCAATTTGTGATTACAGATTGGAAACGATGTGGCCCAGTGTTACCTTTTTCCCCAGTCTCCTTCGGACCCTTCCACTGAAAACATGTTTTACATTTGACCGACCAACCAGCCAATAACTTATCATATAGACATTCTCTGTCATTTTTATCAGCCAACATCAAAAGATGTCTTGAAATGCAACCAGACTTGTAATACACTGTATCAATCAAATTTGATAATCCCAAAGACGAACAATGACAAATCAAGAGAGAAAAATGTGAATTTTTAAACAGATGATATAAAAGATACACACGTATAAAAAACTAATCTTTAGCAGCACAGGCAGGAACAAAAGAATTTGATAAGCATCGTCAAATTTCATTTATAAAGATATATGGTCGTTGCCTTCTCACATACACCAAAATTAGGTTCATTACACTGTCATTGAACCTTCGCAATTGAAATATTCGCTGGGAGAAAATAATTGATACAATTTGATTAACTTGATAAAGGTGGTATAAAACAAGGCACATCACAGCTTCTTTGCCGGTCAGAATCTCATTAAAATATATATATATAAAGATATGTCTACACTGCAAAATATCGAACCTACTAACCTTTGGAAAGACAAATGACAATTGGTTGTTGTGTTGCTTAAAGATACCATATGCTCCTCCTTGATTAATGTATTTTAATCACAGAAATTTATTGAAATCTACGACATTCTTACTGAATGAGTCTAATTTTGAGTAAAAGAATGAATAAACAATGTATGGGAGCTGCGTTCCCTTTTATAGGTCAAATAAATTCAGTCCTTTCTTTTAAAAAAAACTGCCAGTTTTTTAATGACTCAATAATTATTGATACAATGTATATTCATATTGTGACCACCTATAGTGTGTAGAATATTAAACATTACACATATACTTTGTGTGAAGTCAAAAGATGTGTATTTCATATTTACACCGAGACTGTGGAGTAATTATCAATATTTTTTAAATATCAAATTTGAGCCATTAATATAAAAAGTACAAATACATATAGGTCTAAATTTCCGTAAGTGAAAATCATTTGCTAAAAGTATTATGACAAGATTTAAAAAAAAAACCAGTCCCTATAAATCCCTTCTTTGTGACTGTAGCTCAAAGAAAATATTATTTAATTTGACGATGATCAACGTTCATTTTACAAAAATGTACACATTTCAACAGTTTTTAAATTTTCATTAAAATATTGAAGGCGTGCTACTTTAATAATTCATACCATATTTGCTATTTGATGTTTTTCTTTCTGTCAGTTAGCTATAATTGATATACGTCGTTATTTCAAACAATTTGTTATATCAAACCCAATAAGAAATTTTGTTCACCTACCACAAAAGGAGACTTTATTTTATTTTATTTCATCTTGTATGATGCAGTGAAGGCCTTTTTATGCTCCAAATTATTCCGGGTTCCACTCCATTACATTCATGCTATCTTTAATAAAGTAGACAGGGAACCAGACAATTTTCCTAATTGGCCGTCAAAGGCTTCTATTGGGTTTCCACATTTTTTTTTTTAAAAAATCTTTGGTGTTACTAGTTTTTTAATTTTTGGGGGTTTAAACTTTTTTAAACAGATGGTTCACTCCTTGTTATGGCCCTTTTTTTAAAATCAGTTTTACTTTAAACTTGCCCCAAAATAAAACCAAACAAAAAAAAATTTAATCCCCTTAAAAGGTCAATGATCACCCCCATATAAAAATTTGGGAAATGTTTCTTATAGGACTCCACTAATGCCCAAAAAAACCTCTAACATAGGTTCCCCTGGGGTTTCTTAAACAGAAAAAAAAAAATGAAAAAAAAATTAAAAAAATTTTTAAAAAAGAAAATTTATAACTAAAAATTTTTAAATTTAAAATCAAATTTTATTTATTTGGGGGAAATGCCCCAGGGGCATTTAAAAATTTTTTTAAGCTTTTTCATTTTTTAGGTCATTTTCCCAAAACCCAATGAGTATTCTTAAAAAAACGGAGTGATTTGTACACCCCAAGTTTTTTTTTTGGAAGCCCGGAAAATTTTTCGCCCCGTTATTTTAAAAAACCCTTTCATTTGGGGGTTTCTTTCTTGAAATTTTACCCATTTCCATTTTTTGAATCGGGTTTAAATGGGTTTAAATAGGGGAAAACGTTTGGCATTTGTACTTATCAATTTAAATCGTTTTTTAAAGCAGATTCAATCAAAAAAAAACCCTGAGATTTTCTTTTCGTTTTTGGCGTTTCTTGAGGGGTTTTAAAAATTATTTTTGTTGTGAGTTTAAAGGTTTTTATTTTACAGTTTTGTTCACACTTGTCTTGCCCGTTTTAAAGTCAAGAAAATTACTCGTATCTCCAAACTTACAAGCGCTGTGTATGTTCATATTTCACCCACCCCTTTCTAAATATTCTACTTTTTACACTTTTTTGCCTACACATTTTTAATGAAATGAAGTTTTCTCATAAAACAATGACATGTCAATTTGTATAAGATATATGTTACGCTGTTAAACGTTTTATTATAAAAGGTATGTCTGTTCTGTTAAAATAAGACAACATATAGGTTGTGTGTCGGTGTATATGTACAATTATACGTGTTGTTTATTTTCTGATTCGTACAATGTAAATTATAATTGTGTCATAGCTTGGAGACCTTTTGTTACCCGCACTCACTGTCTGTCTAGAGCATGCTCGTTGACCGGTTCATTTTTTGGGGGTTTACCTATTGTGACGAACAGGGAAAGGTGATAACGATTAGAAAAGTCATTTCAGATGCTCGTAAACATTGGTTACTTTTTTCTAGGGGTTTAATATCGTTACGCCGGGGAACGTGGTTTATTTGTGCCTAAGATACAAAAGAGAAAGAAACTCAAAACACACGGCAATATGATTTTTTTTTGGGGCTATCCCCCCTCGTAAAAAAATGGCCCCTCTTGTTTCGGCTTTTCTTTTTTTTTTACACTTTTAAACCAAAGTAAAAACCCTTTTTAAAAAAAAAATAGAAAAACCCAAAAAAAAATTTTTTCTTTTGTAAAACGTACATATAAAACCAAATGTTTTCTCCCACGGGACTTTCCGGGGAAATAACCTTTACATTTCTTTTCCCGTAGTCACACTTAAAGATTTTATTTTTAGAATTTAAAATTTTAGAAAAACCGCTAGGGTTACTCACATTCCCAAATATTTTTACCCATCTATGAAACCCCAAACAACAGCGATGATTTCAGCCGTATTTGTTGCTTTTCAATCCAAATTAAAAAACAGCTTTTTATAATACACAAATTAGGTTTTAAAAAGAAACCCAACTCAGGGTGCCCGGTTCCCAAATTGACTTTGAAATTCCCTTTTTATTCGTTATAACTATGGGGGAATAAAGCAAAAAATAAAAAAAATTGTCATCTCCAGGTACAAAATTTTTATAAAATTTTAAAAAGAACATTAAAATATTTTTAATGGACCATGTTGTTTGACACAATAACTACAAAAGTTTGAATTTTAATCAAATTGATGTTTAACCCTTGAAAAAAGAAAAGAATAATGTGAAATGACATGTTTTTTTTAACTTTCCCCTTGCGGCATCTTTTTTGGGAATGTTTTCCACTGTTCCTTTTACCGTTTATTTTTTAAAAAAAGGGGTAGTGTTTTTCCCCCAAAATTAAAGCCGCTGAGGGAGATTAATGACTCCCCGGGGAATCTTAAATTGAAAAGGGAAAGAAAATTTCTGAGCAAGGTCTAGGCCAAGTTCTCTAGAGAAAACTTATTAATATATAAATATATAATAAAATATAAATATATACGAACACTGCTTTTTAACAGCTTCTATATACAAGAGTTTAAACAATAACTGGAATTTGACGTTAATTCATTATTGGTTGATATCTTATCGTTTTCTGTTTGTTTGTGTTTGTGTGTGTTTTGTTCTTTGCTGTTTCCTTACCAAGTTTTGAGCAATATATATTCTCGACAAAAATATTTTAATAAATTGTGTTTGAGGAGCTTTGACAAAAGATCAAACCATTTTTATAAGATTTTTATAAGTTTTAATTGGACATCATCATTAATTAGAATTTGTTAATCCTGTGTTGTCTTAAGGGTGTTTTTAAGCAGTTTAGAGCATAATAATAGTGGCTTTAAATGACTAGTCTTCCCGATATTTTCT